CTTCCATTACCATTATGTTAGATGTTTTTCATCAATGGAGTATGCAAAACATGTATCTATCGAGTAATAACTGTATCTATGCGACGCACAATGTTTAGAACAATAGAACCATCTTTTTCATGAAATATCCATCATAGAATGGATATCCTCTTTCGATGGCAGTCTTTCATATAACGATAAATGTCACATAATGAAATAACAAACGAGACACTAAACAACCATATGAAAAAATGTGCTATTTTAAAATTGCTATTTTTCCTCAGAAACATTAAACAGGCATCGACGATGAATATTTATCAATCTAAATTTTTAGGCGTATCGTATAATGTGACAAATTAAGGAATTTAAAAAATTGACCGTCGATTCGAGTTTAATTAAGAAGACTATTAGTGCGACAGCAAAATCATTTCGTTGATAAAAAAATTTGATCTTATTTTTAATTTAATAATTGCTTAATAGTTTTTCTCTATTACAAACATTAATCTCATTAATATACATGGCGTGTTTCTAAAGTAAAATATATATACATATACGTATTAGGTGTTGGAATTAATTCGTAGCGTTTTACAAGAGATGGGAAGTACTTTCATTAATGTATTTTTTAATGCTCATGTGAAATAAATAACATTCTTTCATTAAAAACGCTACGAATTAATTCCAACACCTAATATATATATGTATATATGCAATTGTCTTCATTTGTCAGTGACGAATTGTTTAATTTTAACTTACTTATAACTTTTTTTGGAAGGTGGACAAAAGAAAATTATGCGTATGGTGAACAATCGAATGCGATGTAGATTTTGTTAAAATTCGCATTCAGGAGTGCCAGCTTCACAGACCTGTTCAATGTAACGATCCGCACGGTTTTTTAAATACTTTCGACAGTTAAAAAAAAGTTGAAACGTGAATAATCATCTGTTTTATACAGGCTATAACATGCGATATAAAAATTTAAAAAAAAATTTTTTTCATAGAAAATCGAAGTCATCTTAAATTTTTTTTAATAGTACCATACAATTTTTTTCCATAATGTAGGAGTCTTCAAGATGAAATCAAATCACTACCAAAAAATCGAAATTTCACTTTTATTGATGTTTTATTGATTTATTGATACTTAATATCAAATTTGTAGCATTATTTGTAATAGTATTTACAATCTCCGACTAGACACAGAACATATACATACATACATATATTCAGTAAAATATGCAATAAAATTAATAAAATAACAATAAAAGTGACTTTTCGATAGTGATTTGAATTCGTCTTGAAAACCTCTATAATATTATGGAAAAAATTGTATATTTACATTTGTATATTTGTGTTATTTAAAACATTTAAGTTGATTTTTATTTTTTTTAATAAAAAAAACATTTTTTAAATTTTTCATCGCATATTGTAACCTGTATAAAACAGATGAATATTCATCTTTCAACTTTTTTTTTAACTCGAAAGTGTCTGAAAAATCGTGCAGACCGTTATGAACACCCTGTATATGCCAGTAAAATTAGTCGAACAATATAAATGTCATTATATTACGAATTATCAATACGATATTCTAGAATGGAACACATGTATTCCAGGAATAATCAATGTTATATTAAAAAGCTGTGATCAATGTTACTTAATTAGTTATTTAATAATTTGTTAATAATTTGCAAATATTAATTTATAAAGATTTTGGCAGATGCACAATAGGCTTTTTACTTGTAATCAATGTTAAATGGAATTTTGTTTTTTTTTCTTTCAAGTTTCCTATTTAAACGTTTTTGACAGCGTTTTCAAAAATAAAAACTTTAAGAAAGATAGAAAGCAGATTTTGATTTAAAAAATCAAGATATTACTAATAATATTAGGTGTTGGAATTAATTCGTAGCGTTTTTTAATGAAAGAATGTTATTTATTTCACATGAGCATTAAAAAATACATTAATGAAAGTACTTCCCATCACTTGTAAAACGCTACGAATTAATTCCAATACCTAATACAATTATTAATATTTCGATTATTTGAAAAGCGAGATCAATTCTGAATATAATCGAATATCATATAATCGACAAATTGCAATTAAATGATTATTTGTTGAATCTGTATTTTTACCAAGGAACAAGGAAACGCATGTATCGTCTTTCAAAAATAGCATATTAATATAAATTACCCAAAATTTACTTTTACAAATAGTATCTTACTTTGTTATTTATGTTTATTATTATATAACAATCCATATGGATTGTATCTTTCGAAATACGAGTTGTATAGTTGCATATTACAAGAGCTTCTATCGCTTTCTATCGAACATTGCGCTATAATACCGATGTGAGGAGTTACCAACGAGACACAGCTACATATACGAAATTATCACAAGTAATTTCCATCTTCATTTGCGTATCTAAAATTAATTTCTCATATTCGAATTTTTGTCAAACAACATTGAAAACAATCTCATGTGAGGTTATCAAACATTTGTCCTTCGTAAATTTTGTTATTATGTTCTATTATCAATTTTATTATTTTTTTAACTTTCGTTTTATATTTTTATCACTTAATATTGTTAATAAATAATTGTTGGCTCATCCCTCAATTCCTTTATATATTGGATTTTTAATCACTTGAGCCGTTTTCTTATAATTTTAATCTTACTTTGCTTTTTCAAAAGAGAAATAATAATAAAAATTATAATAGAATCTGATCAAAATTTTGGTTTCAATTTCGATCAATTTCGATCAAAATGCGGCAGTGATCGATAAACAACTGTCCGATTTTAATTATTAACTCGTTGATTAAGCTTTGAGTACAAACTTTGTGATCTTAATAACTGTGATTTAATTTCTTTAAAAGTTGATGCAATATTATTATGTTATTATAGTTATTAGGTGTTGGAATTAATTCGTAGCGTTTTACAAGTGATGGGAAGTACTTTCATTAATGTATTTTTTAATGCTCATGTGAAATAAATAACATTCTTTCATTAAAAAACGCTACGAATTAATTCCAACACCTAATAGATATTTTAACAAAATCTTGTTTTTTAAATAGTACATAAATTTGTCATGATTTCTAAAAACCAGATGATTTCCGTAAAATTAATCCAAAAATGTCAATTTCGACTCCATTAGCTTCTTTCTCTTTTTTTAGTAAAACTATTTAAGTTTCGGTTTCGATTTCGTTTTCGCCCAAAATTTAATAACAACTGAATATTCGTTTTCGGTTTCGGCTGGAGGTCAAAATGTGGTTTCGGTCGGACTCTAGGAAAAACACAATGTTACGTGTTTCATTAATACAAATATTGATAGAAATATCATTTATTACTTTATTACAAAATGTTATTTTATAGACAATGTTTCTAATCGTAAGGTAAGAAAAAAAATTTTTTAAATAAAAAACGTATACAATACGGGTATTTTCATTTTTCGACTGGCAATCACAATTATAAGAGAGAGAAAGACTACAAATTGTCTGAGAATTCAAAATTATTCTTGTTTTGATCTTGTTGTAATATAATGCAGTACTATCATTTTCATTTTTTGAAGTCTGTAAGATTATTCCCATCATTTCTAGACAAAAAAAAAACTCAAAATAGTGAATGAATAAAAAAATAGTTAATTTTATTTCAAAAAAACCATTACAATATTACATTTTAAAAAGATTACGAATTATATATATATATATATATGAGAATGAATATGATTTATGAAAATAAAAGTAAATAATGGATAGTTGAGATAACTTTTTACGTAGAAACTAATTTTTCCGCGTGTATATGAAATTACTTTCAACTAGATCGATTTACGCGTTACTTGAAAGATGAAAATTTATTTTATCGTTGTATGCATGCGTGTATGTTCTCGATGATGGCACAAAACAGTGCATTCGTTTCGATGCAATTTATTAGAAGAGTGCAGAATATGCGAGTTTAATTTGCGTCAGCATTGCATTGTAATTTATATACCGCTACAAGGATTTTCCGAATGTTTATTATAGGTAACAGTAAGATAGCAGCCCTAAGTTATTGTACATTAATTAAATTTGCCAATTTGTCATTGCCAATCAGCGATTCAGTATAAAAAGACTAAGTATTTTTTACGAGATCGAGACAGTCTCATCATATACACTTGTTTCGTAGCGAATATATAGTTTCGAATGTATTTAGTCCTTACTTCGTCTTGATCTCTACCTTAATTAACGAAAACAGATTATGAATCATTCACGGCCTACCTCCTCGACGACTATTATTATCTGCTATTAAAAATTAGTACTCTGCGCAATCTCATGATCAATGATGTAATCGCTATTGGCTGCAATCGCTGGAACGATTAATTCACTGTGTTCGCCTTGAGCATAAAGCGTACTATATTAAATGCGTGCTTTTGTTTACACAACAGAAAGATCCGATAAACACGTCCAAGTTAAATTTACCTAATAAAGATTTACGATGGATAAGCAATCGATTGAGCGACTTGTTGGTTAATTATTCTATCGTATATATGTGAAATATAATATGTTATAAAATGCAAACTCGTAGAAAATTTATATTTCCCATATGTATATCATTAAAAAATAATCACAATCATAACTTATTTGAAAGAAATGATGTAGAAAGAGAAAGGAAGAGAGAAATCGATCATATTACAATTCAATCGTTGAGTTGTGTTGATATTAGAACCGCGTTGCAGAAGACGAGGAAATAAACTTTAATCAATAATTGATAGGAAAAACATTAAAAAAGAATAAAAATGGAAAAGAGAGAGAACGTTACATTACGAAACCGTCCCGTGGGTACTCGGGAAATTCCACGCCCTCGTACTTCACACTGATTCTCGAGATGGCGCCATGTACCGTAACGAGCTATTTGCTACAAAATACGTTTATATGTACAATACACACGCGATTCCTTATTCCCCCTTAGCATTGTTAAGACGTCTAGATTGTCCTAGATTCTTTTATAATGCTAATTGCATCGGTTAAGATAAACGTAATAACATTTCGACATCACTTACCGGCACAAAATCCAGCATGCAATGTAGCGTAACTCTGTACGTACGCTCGCTACATCAATCTACAGATCGAATCGTAAAGAATGCGATTAGAGAAACACTTGAAGAGTTAATGTACCTGTAATTAGAATCTCTTTGTGTTGACACTCGCTTCACACGAATATACACGATCACTACACTTGGCGAATAAATCACTCACTACTGAACGACAGACAGCGCGAAGAGACCGCGAGGTTAGGTAATAGGAGCACGCGGTGCGACACCTTTTCGATTACAATACGTATTTCGTTCGTAAAACAACGCGTTCCGAAAACGATGAATGACAGCGTGGCTGAGCGTGGCAGGCGACGAACACTCCTCGCGGTGGTCGACGCGGCAATGTGATTCCGGGTATATTGGTTTGCTGCAATGGGTGGCGATGGTGGGGTACCGCGATAGGGGAGGACGGTATTACTACGCTACGCGTGTGTTGGTTGGTGAGATTGCACGGCGTTCGGTGCGGTGCGGTGCGGTGCGGAGCGGTGCGGTGCGGAGCGGTGCGGTGCGGAGCGGTGCGGTGCGGAGGGGGAAGGAGAGGAAAAGAATTCTATAAGCGAGACTGCGAGCTGCGAGAATATATGGTAGCTGACTGAGAGGTATCTGGCAGTAGTGAGAGGGAGGGAAGAGGAAGGGAGTACATAGGGTAGTTGCAGAGGGGCTAACAGGGGGCGAGCGCCTCGAAAGGGTGAGGCAGATGGCTGTTTGTAATCTCTTTGAATAGCACGTTTTCCATCTACAGACTAAATGCTCCGCTTATTAACGTCGTGATTTTACGATGTAACGCGGAGCCAACTTTGAGTTGCGATAATTGAATGTACGTGAAGCAACGAAAACAGACGCAATAATGAGAAGAACAAGTTCTATTCATTGTTTAATGATAAAAACCATATCATAATGAGGGAATTGTATGTCATGCGTTATAAAGCAATTTGTTCCAAATTTAAAAACCGTTTTTCGGTTTCTATGTTTATTTTAGACTTATGCTCGAATAATCGACAAATAAAGCGTACGATATTTGGAATGTGCATCTAGATAATGAATGGATAAAGAAGCCCTTAAATTAGTGCAATGTTATGAATTATTGTTAATATTTATATTAACTCATCGTGTATGAGTACCCCATAGCATGTCGTACTGTGGCTTTCATGAAAAGTCTTCAATTCGAATACCTGCTAGTAGCGTGATCGTTTACGTCGATTAAGCCAACATGTGTTCGAGGAGTGTGTAAACACATCCATTAAGTTTCAAAGTACAAGAGCAAATGTGTTTCGATATTACTAGTACATTGTAAGGCATAATCCATTTAGCCTACAATTTACAAGTCTATATACTATATTTATATTTATCGCGAGTTTATGAATATGTTTTTTAAAATATTTTTATTTCAGCTATATAAAACTTGAGAACATATAATGTGTATAGATGTCGTTGATTTATTAGGTATTGACTTTAAAAGCATTAGCAATTTAATATAAATTTTGCAATTGACAGAAATTCAATTTTTCTCGTGATAAAGAATCAATTAATTTTAACTCTTTGTAATTAATAGATATTTGAGTTTTGTGCCAGACAAGATTACCAATAGCATGAAGAAAAACATAGTTCACGTTGCAAAGGTAAGATAGAAAAGATAGATAAATAAAGATTACTCTGTGGCTGTGTTCGGTTTGAACATTCATGCACTTTAAGCGTTTATAATCATCATTCTGTCTCTATTGTTCACTTGATATAAAACAAGGATGGAAGCGCTGAAACGCTAAAGCGCTCAAACAAAACGCAGCCTATATACATATATATATATATATATATATATATATATATATGTGTGTGTGTGTGTGTGTGTGTATATTGTATGTACATATGACAGATAAGCGCTTTATAAACAGATTGTGGAAAGATTTAATATTCAATTAGGACAAATAATTGAAAAGAAAGAACATTACAAATTTGTCACATACATTTTATATAAATTTCAATCATAAATTTATATCAGTTTCATAAAGACAGTCATTCAATATCGTCGATACAATGGAAATATAATTTAGTAAAATATAATTATAAAAGAAGAATATTCAGTTTAATACTAACTTTGAATAAATTAAAAGAAAAAAGCTGTTTAGGTAACTAATAATTTACAGTCAGAAAAATCTCCTTCAGTGAAGAAAGAAACAAAAGATTAAAGAAAATATCTTCTTCTTGTCATAATCGTGACAGAGAGATATTTTATGTGATCTTCAAACGATAACATTAAATACGGCCCGTTTATTTATCGCTCCGGATTCAAGTTTGTTTTAGAAATACTCGGCATCGTGTGAATAATACCTGCATCTGTTGGCCTAGATAACGAGCTCTAACAGTGTTGGTGAGAGAGGAGGGAGAAGAAAGAGAGAATGATGGCGAATGGATCTATAGGAAACAGAAAGGGAGAAAGAAATAGAAAGTGGGAGAGAGAGAGAGAAAGAGAGAGAGAAGAGGAGGGAGAGAGAAAGAGAGAGAAAGAGAGAAAGATTTGTCATGTTTCATTATAAATACCATCGCAGTCAAGAAGCCAGTTGAGCAAGTTTTATCTTCCAAAGTATGCTTTTAGGAGAACCAGCCTTTCCTCTCATCAATCATTTATTTTTTACAGAAAATCGACTTTGAACATTATTAGCCTTTGATTAGTTTTTTTTTACAGAGCACTTATTATATCGTTTAATATGTTTAAATATAGATATTATTTATATATATATATATA